CAACATTTCCTGGACAGTAGAAAACAATATGCAAATGAAAAGGTTGAAACATCAAAATTTAATGTCTGAATAATGAAGTAATATTTAAATCTGTACATGTACAGTATCGTGCAATTTGAAATGTTATTTCTGAAAGCACTTTCTGACAGGAAAAGTTAACTAATATTCTGTGTAAACTGTAACGAAACTCTCAGAAAACTGTTCTCTTCAGGTCAATTTGACAGGCCACTGATCCACACTTCTATAATTATTCCAATGTCAACATTCGCCAAAGCAACGACGCAAAGATGGCCTTTTTTTGCCTATCACCATTCGTGCATGGCAAAAGGCAGCCTTTGTGTTGCAACAACTTGTATATCATTGACAAATCTAAACCAGAAGAAGGATTTCGCCTTCAAATAAGCTGCAAAATTTGAGTTTGTAGATGAATGCAAACTCAATGCAGCATTTAAAAAAAATATCATCAGCTAATGACTTGCCGTTTTTGCTAATGCCACAGCAGAAAGCTTTAAAACATCAAAGCAAATGATGTCATTAATGACATGGTTCTTAACCACACATCTTTCTTTGATTTAGCATGTATAACATAGTAAAAAGAAAATTAGTTGTAAAGACATTTTTGTTTGTCATTTTGATTGTTTACTGAAATGGGGAAAAAAAATCCTGTTTTAAAAGCCAAGGATTGTTGGAGGATTGCTGCACTTCTTAAAAGCAAGTAACCTGACACACATTGTGAGTACTGTTTATTCTGCTGTTTGTTCCAGCAGTAGTGGAAGCCTAGTTTGCAGATGAGCTGGAGTCAAGGGGTGTGCACAAACGGAGCTTTGTCTGCCAACAAGTTGCAGATTGGCCTGTGGACTCATGACCAGTTATCAATGACAAAGGCCTTCTGCCTGCAAATGACTCTGGCTGCCAGGAAGCTGAACAGCTTGGTATGAATGTTTTGATGTGGAGATGCCGGTGTTGGACTGGGTGGACAAGGTCAAATCACATGACACCAGGTTATAGTCCAACAGGTTTATTTGAAAATGCAAGCTTTCGGAGCTATAACCTGGTGTCATCTGATTTTTGACCTTGTGAATGTTTTGGCAGAGACCATCGGACTGCTGAACAGAAGTCGCTGTTTTTACTCTGCAGTAAAAAGCACCTCATGTCTGAAGTTAGCCAGTTTATTTCTCCTAAGCTGTGAGTTTTAATTTATAAGTAAAAAGCTTTTAGAAGTGTAAACTAGTTGCTATGCCTCCTACAAATAAGTCAACATATCCGGAAAATCGAGAAGCAGCATTCTGATCACAAGAATTATCCCAGTAAACCCTGTGGACAGGGATCAAAGAACTGTCTTCCAAGCCTTTCCCCCCTACTGAAAATACCCATGGCTTTTTTTCCCTCTGTGTATAGAGGGTGAGTTTATTAGAGGGTTAGAGTTTTAGCTAGTAATTTTATGTCAATAGTCTCTAATTGTACAACTAATTAGAGTCTTACTACTTGTAATAAATAGTCATTCTTGTTTTAAGTACAGAGTCTGTGTTTACTGTCAACCTGGGTCTGAAAGGTAGGTAAATTGGAGAATAATTTATGTATTTAAAAATCTTTAACCTTTTATCATGATTCTGGGAACAGCAGTGCTTGCTTTCCCAAGTGCAACCCCAATGAAACAACACCATGGGAAAAAAAAATCCATGGATGTGTAATTAAACAATATTTTGCATTCTGCAAATAAATATAATGGGGCAGTTGGTCAAAAAAAAAGGTTTTAAGAGAGAGAATTTGGGAGTTGGGGCCAGTTAATTGAACACACGTGCTAATTGTGACATGATTATATCAGGAGTGCTCCAGAGCGCAGAATTGGGTGAGTACAGAGATCTTGGAGGGTTGAGGGACTAGGACATACACAGCCAAGATGGTGACAGACTGGGGGGTAAAAAGGAAGACTTTGAAAACATCTTCTGTGAATTTTAAAATTTGTGGTACTGCATGAGGAGCCCGAGTCGGTGAACATGATGAATGGATGAACAGATCATGATGCAATTTTGAATGACAGCGACAGACCTTAGGAGGATATAGATTAAATTTGATGGAAGAAAGTGTAATATTATGGAATTAGTTGGAGGCACAAGAGGCAACGTAAACTAAAAGGTACAATTTTAAAAGGGATATAAGATGAGAAGTGGGAGTTTAAATAAGTCTTTGAAGAAAGTTGTTGGAAAGGTTTGCAGGGATATTTAGCTTTATATATGAGTACAAAAGCAACAAAGTTACACTAAACATCAATATAAAACTAGTTAAGTCCCTGTTGGAGTATTTTGGCTAATCGTGGGCACTGCACTTTGCCCTTTAAAAAGGATGCTATAGCCCTAGACTGTAAACGAGATGTACTGTCATGATACTGGAATGAAAGGACTTAGTTTTTCCCCTCTCTTCCATAACCTTTTCTGCTCTCAGAATAACCTCAGGTTATTTTTAGAGGTTATCCAGATTTGACAGCGGTAAATGAAGGATGTTGATGTAATAAATAAGGAGAAGCTTTTTCTAGTGGCGTAAGTGATGATTTCCAGGCTGGAGAGGTGGAAATGTGAGATGAGAATATTTTAAAATACCTGTTGTAAACAGATCATATCCAGCCATATAGTTTTTTTTTATTAATAACAAGTGTGGGACAATACTTCTTTGGTGCATGTGTCTTAACAATGCTTTGACCAACAGAGTTGACTTGCCAATCAATCCACATTTTTTCATGCAGTATGAATTGTTATTCCTATTCTTGCATCTGTCCTAAAAAGTCCAAGACATAAGGCATGTTTTTTTTTCAAGAATACAAAAATCTTAGTGTACAGGGCACTGGTGAGACCAAATCTGTGGAATTGCATGCAAGTTTGACCTTATTTTAGGGGGAGAAAGATAAATTACTTTAGAAGCAGTTCAGGGAAGCTTCACCTGAATTATTTTGGAGATAGAGGGTTTAACTTATGAAGAAAAGCTTAGGTTGCTGTGTTTGTAAGAATGAGAGGTGATCAAGGGTCTAGGCCCGAAACGTCAGCCTTCCTGCTCCTCTTGGCTTGCTGTGCTCATCCAGCTCTACACCTTGTTATCCAAGATTTTTCAGGGGACAGATTTGGGTGGATACCTAGAGTTTGGGGACGTTGAAATTAGGAGATGCAGGTTAAGAATAAGATGTCTCCCTCGTCACAAAGCAATGAGCATTTTTTTTTCCCCTTCCCAGGATAATTAGAATGTGGAATTCTTTTCCCCTTGCGGTATTGGAGGCTGGCTCTTAAACTGAATCTTAAATAAATTTAGTCTTTTTTAATAGAGGGTGTCAAGCTTTGGGCTTCAGACAAGAAAGTGGAGCTGAGATCACAGTACAATCAGCCATAACCTTTAATGACTAATACAGTAGACTCAAAGGGCCCTATGGCCTATGTTTAAAATTTCTAAAAGAATGGGACATGGACGAATAAGAACATAACTAGGAGCACGTGTAGGCAATTGAGCTCCTTCAGCCTCCTGTGCTATTTAGTACAATCATGCTGATTTTATCTTGGCCTCAACTCTGTTTACCAATTAAAAATCTGGTTGGTTCGCTTACTGAGCTAGAAGTTTAAATAGCAGTTGGGAAAACACCATAGCGCTTCATCGGAGGCCACACTGCTGATGATACCCACCAGGCTAATGAAACATCTGCAAACGAACCGGCTCAGCGAGTGAACCAACCACAGTCTTCACAACCTGAGCTACACATCTACTCAAGAACCTTAGACAATTAAAAATCTGTCTCTTCCTTAAATGTACTCTGAGTATGGTGGATACTAAAACATTAAGGTGGTGAATGCTGTGGATGTATAACCCTTTAACAGAAGTAGATTTCTTCTCTTTCTTAGATCTGTTACCCCCTTATTTTAAAAGCTTTATGGCTTCTTCATTCTAGAATCACAGAATCCCTATACTGTGGAAGCAGGCAATTCAGCCCTCTGCGTCCACACTGATCCTCCGACGAGCAGCCCACTCACACTTACACCCCCTACTAATAACACTGCATTTCCCATCGCTAATCCACCTAGCCAGCACATTCCTAGACACTATGGGCAATTTAGCATGGTCAATCCACATTAAATGCATATTTTTGGACTGTGGGAGGAGATCTACCCAGGCACCGGGAAAATGTGCAAATTCCACACAGTCGCCGGAGGGTGCAATCCAACCTGGGCCTCTGCTGCTGAGGTAGCAGTACTATCCACTGAGCCACAGCGCCATCTACATTAATCCGCCTGAGGAAACGTCTTTTTCTACGCTTTTACTATCATACATACCTCAATAGGATCTCTTATTTTTCTAAACCGTAGGGTCTAGGCCTAATCTGGTCAATCTATCTTCATAAAACAAACCCCTTCATTTCTGGAACAAAAAAAAACCCGAAAGAACTGATGCTGTAAGTCAGAAACCAAAAACAAAGTTGCTGGAAAAGCTCAGCAGGTCTGGCAGCATCTGTGAAGGAAAAAAAAGTGTTAACGTTTCGGGTCCGGTGACCTTCCTCAGAACTGGAATCTCTGGAATTAATCTAGTGAACCTCCTCTTAACTACTTCCAATACAACACCATCCAGCCTCAAACGGTGCACACATACCATTTCAATGACACTGCTTGGCCTTTATACTCTATTCCTTTAGCAAAAGTGATCCAGGAACACGTTAAGTAAGAGTAAGGATTAGGAGCAGGGAGACGTTTCTACACAAGATTGTTGTGAAAGGCACAATTTGGGCGAACGAATCTGTGTGATAATTTTAACATCGACGAAAACGTTAAATATATGATTAAAGGACAGAAGAGGGAGAGTCCGTCGAGCGGTGCGAGTTAAGCAACAGGCTGCAAACTGCACGAAACGACTCGAGCTGCTTGTTATCTTGCGCGAGGCTGGCCCAGGCAGAGGCGCGTGCGCAGGTGTGACCGGCTCGTGATGGAAGGCCGTCAGCAAAGTAGGTGTCGTTGCCGGAGAGGTGGTACTCGGCAAACGGTCTATAATTCTCTCTATAGTTTCACAGTTACCAGTCGAGACTGAGCCGGGCCCCCTGAACGTTTAAAGAGGAGGAAGTCCATCCTTATCCCGTGGTCTTCCTGACGGGGCCGCCGTGAACTTAACTGTCCAAAGAGCGTTTTGGTATTGGAGAGGGGCTGGGGGCTGACTTCTAAATGTGTGTACAGTGATTGAGACCACCCCATTCATCTCTGGGCCTCTTCTTACCATCCATGTGGGTGGGACGCCGTTCCCTGGTTTCAGTTTCATGTACCATGTTCCTAGCCAGAGAATCATTGTAATGAGTCTTCATCCCAGCCCCACCATATTGCCCCCAGGGCTCTGTCCTTGGCGTTAATGTAATTTCTCATCCTCGGGCTGCTCTGCGGCAGCAGGGTGGGTCACTGGATCCGAACCGTTAACATGCTTTCTCTTCACAGATGCTGACAGACGGGCTATTTTTTTTCCCTAGCAATTTCTGTTTTAATTGCCTAAGACACAGTATCAGTTCTACATATCCACTGATGACAGCTACCTCACCCCCTCCTTTTCTCATCCCCTCCATTCTTTCTAATGTTGGGTGAGCAGACATTATAGAGGTGAACAAAGCTATTGTCTTCAGTTTCCGCCAATAACTCCGTCCCTCAGACTAGTCATTGTCTGAGGCTGAGCTATAATATTCACTTTCCTGTTACAGTATTTGACTCCAAGATGAGATTCTCACAGCATATCTGCCCTGAGACCATGGTTGCCAACTTTCACAGCTGTAATGTTGCCTGATCCCTCCCTGTATTAACTTATCCGCTTCTGAAATCATCATCTTTAATCTGTGTTGCCTTAACACTTTATTGTTCCAATGCTGTCCTGGCCAGTTTCCCACCTATCCCAGGCTAGCTGTATTCTAAAAGTCTCCCTTTGAGACTGAAACATAGTTTACCAGGCTTTGAAATATTCCATTGTAATGGGTGTGACCTGCTGGGGCCTTACATCTTGGAGAGGCTATTTTAAACTTAATTTCCAATGTATAGATTATTAAAACAGAAGTGTCTTTTTAATGTTTTTCTTAAAAACCGGCAATATCAGATGGCACGTTTGTAACTGTAGCACGTTTGGCTCTGAGCCAGAAAATGCTATAATTTCAAGAGCCACTCCAAATTTGAGATTGACACTTCACTGGAGTACTGAGGGAGTGCTGCACATAGGAGGTGCCAACTGTTGGATGAAATGCCAACTCCAACATCATCTGCACTAAATTAAGTACAGAAAATGCTGGTAATACACAAGTTTGGTAACATCTTTAGAGGTAGCAATAGAGTTGATGCTTCAGGCTGACCTTTCATCAGAACCACTGTCAGTTGGTTATAAAAGGTGCCACAACACTATTTCTAGGATGTAAGAAAAGTTGTCTCCGGTGCCCTGAGCAATATTTATCCCCCAATCAGCATTACAAACTGAATAACTGTTCATTATCACATTGTCATTTGTAAGACTTTACTGTGTACAAATTGGTTGCTGCCCAGAGACTTCACTTTGTCGGAATAATGTGTTGGGGATGTCCTGTTGTGCAAAGTGTTTTATAATTACAAGTCTTTCATTCTTTGTAACTATTTAGCTAGTTTACTTTCATCCTATTTGCCAGCCTCCAAGAAAGGCATGTTTTGTTAAATTTTTGCTGTGTTTTGTGTCCCATGTAATATCAGAGGACAGTCCAAAATCATCATCCATCTTTTCAGCTAGGCTTGATTACTCCTTGCCATGCCAGATTGAATCTTCCAGTGTCTCTTGCCAAACTTTCCACTCCCACTTAGTTTTCCAGATATTCATCACAACAAGGCACACCCTAATGAACCACTTCCCCCGAATCATCAAGAGTCATGTCTGTTCTGTCCTTTTAAACAGAAACAGAATCCTTAAAAGCATCCCTCTTCAAATTTAATGTAAGATTTTCGTACTTCCGTACAGTGACAACTATTGTTTTCTGAGCTGTGATCCTCTGTGAAGGATAGATAACCACAACCCAACATCTCAATGGATTTCAATTTGACTTTCTATCCCTTTACTCCTCTCAAGTCTCATGGCATGACTCCAAAGTCGAGTATTTACAGGATTTCACCCCATTTTGTAGAACTGTTTTACTTCTGAGTTAAAGTTGCATTTTAGAACATAATCTTGGAAAGCTCAGTGTTTATGACATGGGGATGTGAAAGAAACATGCAAATTTTATTTTCTTCCTAATTACACTATCGTGTGGTGAAGTAAAGTTATTTTGTTGACCAGATGGTGGTGGAGAAAATGCAGTAGAGTACTTTCGCAAACAAGGAAGAATCTCCTCTCATGATGCATTGGAAATCATCTGGTATCATGCGGCCAACAGAAAGGCACAAATGGAAGAGGCACTGAAAAGTAAGATAATATCGGAGATACAGAGAAAAGACATTTGCAGGATATAAAGTAATCATTGTGTCGCAGAAGGTAAAGGTACTATTTGGGGTGCATAGTTTGGCGAGTTAGACTCGGTAAGCAGCATTGATGCCAAAAGCCTTTGACCAAGAGATTGTGTGGTAACTCAGATTGACTGCATGACTTTCACCTATGTATGAATAAAAATAAAATAGAAATATGAATGATATGAAAATTTTAATATTCACATTGAATTGACAGTCTGTCTTGGCTTCAATTTTGCTGTTTAATGCAACAGCATTAGGGCACTCTTACCTTTCGGAGGTGAATTTCTTGTTATAGTGTCAGTGATAAAATGAACAAAATATTTTTGTCCTAGAGTCCCAATTCAATGCTATTTTTAGTCTGTTGTAATTGAGAAACACACTTCCTTGTGTTTGGAGTCCTTGATAGAAAGCTACAATTGCAGTATCTTGCACTGTCTTGCTTTTTTTGGATGTGCAATTGATCTGACATTCTAACCAACACCCTTTAACATTTCAGACAACAAGG